AAAAAAAGACCGTACCCTTTTATGTAATGATGTTTACTTTGAATTTATATTAGTTCACACAAACACTCCATCCATGCTTTTGTTCCGGCCCTCCGGTCCAGTTTAAGAACCCATTGTGGCCCTCGAGTCAAAAAGTTTGCCTACCCCTGGACTAGGGCAAAAGCAATGACGTTTTAATAAAGCACAGCTTCTGTTGATTCTGTAAAGATAATGTCTAAATTTTGTCCCTTTACTCTGCAGTTTGCAGGAGGTATTTATTCCAGGCTTGAAGCACAAATCAAGGCCACAGTGCCAGTCAGTGTACGGCAGGGAAGCTCCGAGAAAAACACGAGGTAAGTCAGCATCAGAGAATTCAGAGTGCCATTGGCTTTGAAGGGATTTTTATTTTATTTTATTTTATTGTATTGTATTTTATTTTATTGTATTTTAGGGAAAATTATATGACACTAGAAGCACATAATTTGAATTTTGTTCTGTTTCAAGGATTAGACCAAGACATTAATAAGAACCAGATTTTAACTTAAAAGTTAAGACTTTAAAAGGTCATAAGCACAAAATTTAATGAAAGAATAGTTCTTATAGTATTCTGTTGATTGATTCAGTTCTGTTCTGACCCAACTGCTGATAAAAATGTAAGCAATAGTGTTACTGTGAATTAGCAGAATTTTATACTGTTTATGAGTTATATATTATTACTTTATATAAATCATTGAAGTCTTTCTCATTCCTTGTTTTATTCTATTTCTCTTTAAAAAATCTAACTTGTGGGCCCTGTGTTATTTTATGTCACACTTTTTCTTTTAAAGATTAACAGTAACTGAGATTTGATCATTAATACTGCAGATCCAAAGCCTTATCTGCAATGCAGAAATCCAGAAAGCTCAGAAAACCACAAGATTTTTTTATATATGTCAGTTCAAACCTAAACTGAGCGACTATGATGTTATTTGTAGTTTTTACTTATCCCACTTAATGAAAATGTTCGTTTGTTTCACTGTGAAGAACATTAAAGCGTTTGATCATGAGACACTGCTCCAGATCCGTAACATACAATCCAGGTGCCATATTATCTTCCCCCAAAAAAAATCCGAATCTCACTCCAAGGATTTTTAAAAAGGGATTAGGGAGCTACATAAAGTTTCTTAATCTTCAATACTGTCAAGCAAGTATAACCTAAGCAGCAGTAACTTTCTATTGTTTGAGAAGCACCTCTGACCTTCTTTCCTGTTTAAAAAATGTAGGTCGAAAAACCGTTTTGGTCCAGGGCGTCCTGCATAAAACACCTTAGTGTGTAACTACAGAGGCAGCAGACACACCTCCGGACATCCGAAGTTGCTCATCTCTTGGAGATCTTCAGAACGATGACTTCTAAATGTTTTAAGTTATTTATTAATTATTCTTGCAAACATCATAAATCAGAATGCTAAGGGAAGCATATAATTAGGTCTTATGAAATCTAATTGTAAATATGAAATTCTTACCTAATTTTCTTTTACTGTGATGCTAGGCTATATAGAAAATTAGTATTTACAAATTAGTTTAGATTCCTAATATTAGTTTATTTATTTGAAAGAGAAGAGGCCTAAACTCTTGAGTAGCTAAGATCTCTTAAGACCTTAAAAAATTAGGCGAACACACCTGGTAGTGGTACCATGCATGTGCACCAACTTTGGCATGTCTCCTATGAATTGTGGGGTAGCGTTGAGCACTGCAGTTTGTGTGATGAAATTCTCAGTGATGCTGATTTTAAGTTTGCATGAATATTAAGGAGGGATGGATCTCAAGACTGCATTAAATAAAGTGTCATGGTGAGGTATGTCTTGTGTTGGGCAGAAGGGTTAAATGCTTTCAGTGTTATTCCATGGAAAGCACAATGTCAATCCAATTTTTTTCCTTTTGTTTTTTAATGCTTACCTATTGGTCATCTGAGCTGGAATTACTGATTATTGACTCTTTCTCTGTAAGGCTAGTGCCATCCTGAATTTGTTAAAATAACCATTGATATTTTACAGGGCACCTTATAATATGCATTATACTGGAACTGCAGTATCCTTACTATTTATAAGGATTAGCAAATCATTTTAGGTTGTCTGAGATACCCACTATACCGTTCTCATGGTTATAAAACCCAACCATATGTCTATAGCCATTCAAATAGCCCTTTAAAGCAGTTATAATTACTTATTGCTTTAGAGCTGTCTAGGAAGAAAGATTCCCAAATGCATTTGATGGGTGAAAAACTGAATATATTCGAGAGAAATCAAAATTCTATAGATCATGTTTTAATTTTTCTAACAAAGAAGAAAGAGTGCTCAGGGAAAATTTTTCCAAACCATAAGCACAGAAAGTATGTATTTAGGAATTATTTATATATAGGTCTCTTTAAGATGCACTGTTTCTAATTTAAATGAAGATTTGCCTTATAATTAACATTTCTTCAAAGTATTTAGAGAACTGACTTTGATAATATGACAGAACAGCAATTTTTGTTGAAATATTGAAGTGTTATACTCAGTAAACACATACAGAAACCATTATTTTTAGTGAGTGTTTTAGTTGATAAATTAAGTTAGATTTTATTTGATGTTATATATATGGCTTGGCCAAGGTTTTGGAACTTCTGTTTGGAAACTTGTGTTGCAGTTTATATTTTTCAATTGATATTTTTTAAATGGATTATAAATTTTTTATTTTTAAAAGAAAATGTTTTATAGCACATAATCTATAAGCCCTGCTAAATACCAGAGTCTTGCTTAGTTTACTGTATTCTCTAATTTAAAGGATTTAGGCATATACATGTTATATTGTGCTGTGACAGTCACAACCAGACGAGGAAAAGATGCCCTTTTGATTTTTAATTGATAGTAACAAGGCAACTTGCTTGTCCCCTAGGGAGACTGTACCACTGAATTGATTTTTACAAACGACAATTTATCAGAATTTGGTTTTCAAAATGTGCTTTTATTTTATTAATGTCTGTTGAACATAACACAAGTACCACAAACATTTTATTCACACTCTTAATAGCATTTCTTTTGCCAAATACTTTGAGGTTTGACCTTACATTAATTCTGAATTCACATTTCTTTAATTGAAATAAATGTTAATGACAAAAGTGGTTTGAAACATCCCTTAATCTGAATCATTGCATCTCCCCAGGAAGGTCTCACAATACCCCCCTCCCCTCCCCCAAATCCAGTGTTCTCACTTTATGGGTGGAGAAGTAAGTTCAGAGAGTAAAATAACCCACACAGGGATTGGGGTCTGGGCCTATCCGCACATTCCAAAAGCTTCTTGAAATAATATGCCTTGGATTGCCTGAAACAGTCAGTCTCTCCTGGCGCACTGGTGACCCTAGCTCACTTTCTGTCGTTTCTTTCAGTCTTGTGTATCCAACGCCTACTTGGCATTTGTACTTGAAACACCAATACGTGTCTGCAGCTTAACATAATCAAAACAGAGCCAACAGCCCCACAGCTCCCTGCTTGTTCAAGTCCAGTCTTGCACAGTTTAGGAAATGGTACTATTGCCTCCCCAGTGCACAAACCGAAATCTAGAAATTACTTCTTATTCCTCTCTTCCCTTCACCCCCCACATCCAGTTCATCATCATAGCCTATATATCTTTTTGCTTCTCTCCATCACCATTAGCACCGCCCAAGTCAGTATCTTTTACATGAAGTGCTGCAAACGTCTCCCAAGGAATTCCCCAGCTTCCACTCCAACCTCTGTTATCCACAAAGCAACTGTAGTGATTTTGAAATGTGAATCAGATCACATCGCTCCCCTGCTAACATTCTCGTAGCACTTCATCAAACCTAGAAATAAAATCCAACCTCCATGGCGTGGGCTTACAAAGTCCTACGTGGCCCAGACCCTGGCTGCCTCTCAGACCTCCTTTCCCTCCTGCTTAGTACAGTCCAGTCACATTAGCTCACCTGTTCCTCCAACATGTAAGCTCATTCCCACCTTTCAGTCTCTTCACATTAGCTGTTCTCACTGTCTAGAAGGCTTTTTTTTATAATTCAGATTTGAGGTTAGCTCTTAGTTCCACCAGGAGGCATTTCCATGTACTCAATCTAAAGTAGCTACTCAGGTCACTGTCATATCATAGTTTATAACTGTGACATTATTGCTCTGATGTTTTTCTTTTATTTGTTGGTTTGCAGTTTGTCTCTAATGCCAGAAAATGAAATTAAATGCATCCAAATTGGAAAAGAAGTAAAACTGTATTCACAAATGACATGATTTTTAGATAGAAAAATCTTAAGAAATCCACTAAAAGCCTATTAGAACATATAATTAAGTTCAGCAACATTTCAGGATTCAAGATCGATGTACAAAAATCAACATTTCTGTACACTATTAATGAAAAATCTGAAAATAAAATAATTCTCTTTATAATAGCATCAAAAAGAATAAAATACTTAAAAATAAATTAAAAGAAATGCAAAACATTCTGAAAACTATAAAATATCATTGAAAGAAATTAAAGAAGGGTTAAATAAATGGGAAAACTATTCCATGTTCATGGATCAAAAATCTTAAATGTTAAGCTAGCATGACTCATAGTTTCACCACAGTTTCTATCAGAATCCCAGCTGGCATCTTTGTAGATATTGACAAGCTGATCCTAAAATTCATATGGAAACTCATGGGACCCACAACAACCAAAACAGTTTTGAAAAGAAGAAAGAAGATTCACACTTTCTGTCCTAAATTCTTACTGTAGAGCACAGTATAGCACTAGCAGGGGATAGGCATATGATATATCAATGGAACACAATTGAGAGTTCAGAAGTAAACGCATCTATTTATGGCCACCTGATTGTCAACAGTGCCAAGACCATTCAATGGGAAACAAATAGTCTTTTCTACAAATGGTGCTGGGACAACTGGATAGCCTCATGCAAAAAGAGTGAAGTTGGACACATACACCATGTACCAAAAGAAATTGATTCAAAATGGATTAACCACCTAAATGTGAGAACAAGCACAATTAAGAAAGTGAACAGACAGCCTACCGAGTGGGAGAAAATGTGTACAAGTCATATGTCTAATAAGGGACTTCTTTTCAGAATATATGAAGAACTTTTACAATTCAACATTAAAAAAGACAACCCAGTTTTTAAAATGATAAAGGATTTGAATAGCCATTCCTCCAAAGAAGATACGCAAATAGCCAATAGCACTTCATAAGATGCTCAACATTATTAGCCATCAGGGAAATGCAAATTAAAACGCCAAAGAGATACCACTTTACACCTGGTAGAATGACTATAATGAAAAATCCACCAAAGGACTGGTAGAGAATGTGGCAAATTTGGGCCCTTTAACCCTTCTGGTGACAATGTAACGTATGCAGCTACCTTGGAGAGCAGTCTGCAGTTCTTAAAAAAAAATTTAGAGTTACCATTTATCAATTTATCCTAACAGGTATATTATTTTCTATCTAGTCTCTTCTTGTGTTTATCCATATGCATATATTCATGCACAGGACAGTAGTATTATCTACCTTCTCATGCAGGAGGAGAAACAGACCCAGAGATGGCAGCGTGTCTAAGGGCAACAGAAAGAATGTTCTGTGCAGTGTGCTCTACGTGAGAGTGTTGCTGTGTTACGTGAGGTAATACATACATGTAAAACACTAAGAATAGTGCCTTTGCCCTAGCCGGTTTGGCTCAGTAGATAGAGCATCGGCCTGCAGACTGACGGGCTCCAGGTTCAATTTTGGCTAAGGGCACGTGCCCAGGTTGTGGGCTTGATCCCCAGTAGGGGGCGTGCAAGAGGCAGCCAGTCAATGATTCTCTCTCATCATTGATGTTTCTCTCACTCTCCCTTCATCTCTGAAATCAATAAAAATACATTTTTTTAAAAAGAATAGTGTCTGACATATAGTAGTGCTCAAAAGATGTTATTATTAGACCACATGGAAGACTTTTAGAAATAACTATATGGTACTTATTTCCATTTTGACCCTGACTCATACCGTTTTCCCACCTGGACGGATGGCCTTTTGTTTTGCTGCTTACTGAAATTTCCCCCTGGCCCTCGGTCCCTGCTCAGACCTCCGTGAATCTGCTGGTCCCTCTCTCTGAATTTTATTGCACTCATGACATTGCCACAGTTTAGCAGTCACATGTTCTCATTCCTTTTTTTGTTTTGTTGCCTGTGGGTCCCCAACAAGTCCTATGCTCTACTAGTAATATTTTATATATAGGCTAGAGGCCTGGTGACTTGGGGGGGTCCCTCAGACCAGCCTGGGCCCTCTCACAGTCCGGGACCCCTCGAGGGATGACCACCTGCTGGCTTAGGCCCGCTCCCTGGGGCATAGTGAAGGTATAGTCAATTAGCATCTTTGTCTTTTATTAGTGTAGATGATTCCCAAAACAATGTGGGAGTTAGGGCTCAAACCCCCTGGACAGTTAAACTCTGCCTATAACTTTAGACTCCCTCCAGAACATAACTGTAAATAGACTTCTGTTGACCAGAAGCCCTAGCAATAATATAAAGTTGATTAACATTTTATGCTTTATGTATTATACCAGAGGGCCCGGTGCATGAAAATTCGTGCACTGGAGGGGGTGTACCTCAGCCTGGCCTGCCCTCTCTCACAGTCCAGGAGCCCTCAGGGGCGGGAGGCGACCAGGCGATCAGGGGAAGGCGATGCCCCATCACACCTCTGCTGTTGCCACTGCCGGCAGCGCAAGCCTTGGCCGGCCCTGGTTACCTGAGCCTCGGGTGTCCCTGAGCAGCTGGGCAGCCACCATCTGAGGCTTGCCTGCACCTCAAGCCGGACCTGGGGGGCTGAGGGGACTGATGGACTCTGGAGGCAGGCGCCACTCTGGCAGGGCTGAGAGGACTAGGCGCTGCCATTTTGTGGCTGTGGGTGCTGCCATCTTTGAGGGCGGGGCAGGCAATTAGCATATTCCCTCTTTATTGGCTGTGGGAACCACCATCTTTGTGTTGGTGTGAGGGTCAATGAGCGTATTCCCTCTTTATTAGATAAG